TCAACCGATTTCAACAAAACTCCACTTTTTTTGGCAAGTAGTGTTTCTTATTGTCTTGCACACTTTTTTCTTTATTTTTACAATCAGAATGCTTTAAAAATTCCATTTACAAGACAATTTTTTATAATAAAATTCTATTCAATCGATAGACTCATAACGATTGAAAACAATGTTTTTAATTCGTAAAAAAAAAAAACTAATTAAGACATGCGTGTCCGTCAACCTTAAACAATAATCTTTGTCAATTTTATTTTTCAGTCTTTATGATGGTCGATACTTGATCTATCTCTTACTGTTACATCCCCGGGCAACTCCGGGCTCTACTGCTATTATTTTATATTAATAGGATTCACTTGGATTACTTACCCACGGATTTTACCTATATATATATATATATATATATATATATATATATATATATATATATATATATATATATTGTTTACATTATTGGTTTATTCTCTCATCTTTGTCGCCATATTTATTATTTTTATTGCAATAGATATGGCGACAAACATGAGGAGAATAGTCCAAATAATGTAAATAGTGTACATAATAGAGTCATCTCAGAAATATATATATATATATATATATATATATATATATATATATATATATATATATTAAAGACATTTTTTTATGTTTAACGTTGTTATTTAATGTCTTTAATAAATAAATTGTCGGACCTTGTCCATTTCTTAATATATATATATATATATATATATATATATATATATATATATATATATATATATATATATAAAAAGAGTTAATGGTCAGAGTTGAATTAGACCAGGAAAGTGTAGTATTAAAATGATCAATACACATATAAAAGATTAAAATTTAACAAGTCGAGCTTTTAAGTATAGAAAATTAGAAATCACCCAATTGACCGAAATCACCTGAAGATACCGAAAGGTAGCGAATCGGACGATTTCCTAATTTTTTTTCTTTTTTCTCTCTCTCTATCTATATATATATATATATATATATATATATATATATATATATATATATATATATATATAATATAAGAGGTCTGATCAAAAAATATCGGAACTGATACTATTGTAACGGAGCTAATATGTGCATAGAGTGAAGCTGCTTGGCACTGATTTACTTTGAAGTCTGTCGCACATACTAAGTTATAACGTTCTTGCTTTCTTCCTTTGTTTATAGCAGTACTTTGAAGGGAAGTGTGCAGAGTGTGATCATCTCATCACACCACAGAGGTTTCATCAGTGCTCAAGGCTTGTATAGCAATTTTGGTTAAGCGCAATATTACTCAGGTCCGACAACCACCCTATTCCTCTTGCAACTTTTCTTCTTTACAAATCAAATTCATCTTAAAAGGAACATGATTTCCATACGTCGAGGAAATCCAAGATAATTCATCAAGGCAGCTTATATAAATGGGTGTATGTATGTACCTCAGAGGCAAGTCACAAAATCAAGTGTGTGGGTCATTTCCTGGCAAGTTAAGGTCCGCCTTAAATAAATTCACGCCATCGGGACTTTCTTCTACTCTGAATGTCTGTGGGAGCATGTTTTGATGAAATTGGAAATTTCTAGTCCTGAAAATGCAAGTTAGCGGCAAATATAGTCATAGTCACTAGCATCATAAAGGAAGCGATCAGCAGAGAAGAAATTAAATTCTTGGATACAAGATAAAGCCGCCGATGACGACGACGATACGGCTGATGCAAAAGCTCTTCAAAGTACTCTGAGTCACTGGCCTGTTTATTCTAAAATAAATACGTAAAACTTCACCTTCCTTGATTTTGTGACTTGCACACACACACACACACACACACACACACACACATATATATATATATATATATATATATATATATATATATAGTTTATTAAAAACTAGGTAATCCGTATGGGTAGACCCAAGGAGGATAAAATCCAGAGAGCTCAATGTAAATTCAGAGCAAATAATTTAAATAAAAACAGACCACTTTAAGGTTCCATGTCATAAATTATTTCACCACAGCCCTTTTAAAAGGACTGCGGATCATCAGACTTTACTTCCAAAGGTTGAAATGAAAACCTTTGGAATTAAAGTCTGATGATCCACAGTCCTTTAAAAGGGCTGTGGTGAAATAATTATTACATGGAATCTTAAAATGGTCTGTTTTTATTTTTATTATATATATATATATATATATATATATATATATATATATATATATATATATATATATATGAGCATTTGTAGTAAAATTATTTCTTATTTCATTTCCGAATTAAAAATTATGAAGCCTACTAAAGCATTATAGGTAACTTTTAATTTTTTTTTTCTCTCTCTCATATAGAATAATTGTCTTGGTGATAATTTTTTAAGCCTTTCGTTGATTTTTTTTATTCTTCCGAAATTTAATAAGTATTCGTTTTGACGAATTACAAGGGTGACATGGGGTTTCTATGAAAAGTAATAAGTTCACTGCTCAAATCTGCTTCCATGTAGCAAACCGGTGGATGTTTATTTACTGCGAAAAACAGATTAACAGAGTTTAGAAGCATAGATTGCATCACGAGCGTTAACATCTAATCCATATTCAGCAAGTGTGGTCCTCTTAAAAAAAAGAAAAGGGGTCTCAGATGTAATATTACATTTCAATAAATATTCACTCTGTCGTTTCCTTAATGGCCAACATTCCTGTATGCCCTTCCTAAAAAATCCATGTACTGTATAACGCCGACATTTAATGGCGCCCATTTCTCTTAGTTATTTCAGATCACACACACACACACATACACACACACACACACACACACACACACACACACACACACACACATATATATATATTAAAGCAATATATAAAAAGCAAACTTTATCTTTCTCTCACCACTCTCTTCCCTGTCTCTCCCTCCTTCACGCTCTCTATCTATCTTTCCACACACACACACACATATATATATATATATATATATATATATATATATATATATATATATATATATATATATATATATATATATATATATATATATATATATATATATATATAGAGAGAGAGAGAGAGAGAGAAAATAG